GCAGTCAGGGGAAATGAGGCCGACCTGCAGAGAGGCAGATATGGAAGACAGGATGGGGATGGAGAACTCTGGGGGACCCTCCTCCCTGCATCCAGTCCCTTGGCTGGCCCTCCCCTTCCTCTCTGCTGCTCACATGAACCAGTAAACTCTCCCCTGTTGCTAACTCTGAGAGGTGGCTCTGCACCCTGGAGCATCCTGATTGTAACCATCATCCTTACAGACAAGACTCATGGGATCTGATAACCACACAGATTTTTTTCTGCCCCCAATCTTTCTTTAAATCTCTTCTGTGGGCCCTACACGCTGGGGGTTGATCTTTCCCTGCCCCTCTGGTCATGTTAGGTTGGAAAACATAGTCTGAATTCAGTAATTAAGATGTGCAGTCTCATGTCATAAATAAAATTCTGAATTTGATTTAAGGTTGGGGCTCCTCCCTCTCCCAGCTAGGGCCTGCCGTGGACAGAACTGCAACTGGGAGAGTTCAGGTGGCATCTTCCTTTCATCAGGACTCCTCTGTTTCTGTGCCCATGCCCCAAACCCCCCAGACACGTAAACTGTGGTTTCTGGCTGGGGTCGGTGGCTCACGCCTGTAATCTCAGCATTTTGGGATGCTGACGCAGGTGGATCACTTGAGGTCAGGAGTTCGAGACCAGCCTGGGCAACATGATGAAACCCCAACTCTACTGAAAATACAAAAATTAGCCAGGCATGGTGGTGGGCACCTGTAGTCCCAGCTACTTGGGAGGCTGAGACAGGAGAATCATTTGAACTCGGGAGATGGAGGTTGCAGTGAGCCAAGATTGTACCACTGAACTCCAGACTGGGCAACAGAGCAAGACTCTGTCTCAAAAACAAAATAAAACAAAACAAAACAAAATTGTGGCTTCTGACCTCCCCAGAACTGAAGCCAGGAAAAAGAGAGCACTGAGAGAGCAGAACAATCATGTCTGTCTGTTCTCTAGTGTACACTAGCAGAGGTAAGTGTTTAGAGCTAATGCCTCCCCTGTGGGCACATCGTTCAAGTCTTGAAGACCCGGAAGCATCATCTGGCCAACTGCATCAGGCCGGTGTTCAACAGGGGCCCCATGTGGCAGCTAGAAGCAACAGCTCAGAGAATTGCTCAGATGCTAGTCCTCTCTGATTGGCGGAGGAAGCCAGGCTGACCACTCTACTCATTATGTACAAAGCCCTGGGAGTCCTGGTCAACCCGGAAGGCTTTAAGAGGGAGGTGACCATAGGTTGTCCTGCCAGCCAGGCAGCCAAGGATGCAAGTAATGAACTGAGATAAGAACTGAGCTGTGATGATATTTGCCCTTTTCGTCTTCATTTCGCAAATGTCATCATATGTTAATCCCCCCCTTTTTTAAATAACGGCAAAGGGATAAAGTGACTTGGCTGCAATCCCACAATTAGTAAATGATAAAGTCCCGACTAGAAAATGCTTCCTGCAGTTCTAAAGGCCGTGAGCTTTCCTTTGAACCTCCCTAGAGATGAATCCCTAAATGCTGGAGAAGAGAAAAAAGAAGTTAAAAGGAAGGGCAAAAGTGACATATAAATTAAAGATTTTAAAGATATGCGACGCCTCTTTAACCTCCAGCAGAGGGAAAGGCATCTGGAGTCTGTGCTCTTAGCTGGGAGGGGATGCAGGGGTCCTTTATCTGGAGAAGCAGGGCAAAGAAGAGACTCAGTTTTTCTCCACAGGGGTCCTTTACCGTCATTTTTAATGTCTTTTTACACTGCAGGGCATCGGAGCTAACTGATGAGGTCTGCCTCCTCTAGAAAATTCTCCTTGGACAGAATGTCAAGTGTGGATATGAACATTTATTTGTTGACATTTTTAAAATGCCAATCCTGACCCGCTGAAATGCAAAGGCACTTGTTTCTTTTCTTTTTAAAATTTATTTTGGAGTCAAGTCCACATCATTGCCACCTTCACTCCCAATTTAGACATCTTTCTTCTAAGTTGACTGGCTCCTCAGCGGACAAAAAAAGCCATTGCCCTCTGGGAGAGCTGGGTCTTTGATGTCAAGGGGACCATAGGATATTGGAATTCTTTCTCCCAGAACTGTAGCTCACACTAATATTTACCGGGTGATTGGCTTTGCTTGGTTGCGTTCAGGGAAATATTTGTCTAGGCTGAACCAGAGGCCTAAAGAAGGAGGTATCCACAGTCCAAAGAAAATTCTTGGCCCTTGTGCTGGTACAGGTTGTTCCATTCCACTGTTATGTAAGCACTGGGAATGACAGGAGGCTGGCGTCATCCACACGGCATAGGAAGGCACAGCAGCTGCCGGGCCCCACGATGACCGTGATCCTGACCATTCCCCACCAGGGACAGGACACTCTGAGACGGCACCATGAGGCCAGATATAGAATCCTTCTTTAAAAGTAGCATTTGTATTTTTCCACGAATACCTTAAACTTTGTTTTCCCACCGCCTATCAGGGCTTTCTATGTTAAAGAAACAACAGGTAAGCCTGGCGTGGTGGCATGCCCCTGTAATCCCAGCTACCTGGGAGGCTGAGGCAGGAGAATCGCCTGAACCTGGGAAGCAGAGGCTGCAGTGTGCTCCAGCCTGGGCGACAGAGCAAGACAAGACAAGACAGAGAAGAAGAGGAGAAGGGGGAGGGGAGGGGAGGGGAGGGGAGGGGAGGGGAGGAGAGGAAGAGGAGAACAGTGAGAGATTTATATTGAAGCATACGATGCATACCCAAAAAGTGCCTATGCACAAGGATACAGCTCTACGAAGTGTCTCAAATAGAACAAACCTGTAAAACAGAATGACCAGCACCCAGAGTTTCCCTCATGCCCTCGTTACTTGCCCTCCCCTGAAAAGAATCCACTATCGTGCCTTTTAACATCAGAGATTGCTTTTCCCCAACAGGGAGAGTTTAAGGTCGTGGATGTGCCTCCACAGTGACAGTTTATGATTTAACCTCTGGGGAAGTGATTAAGACAGTTTCCGACACGGGACCCTGGGTCCTGCGTAAAGGTGACATTTAGGGTATGGAAGCAGAATGACTTTGGTGTGGATGACCCACTCTGGCGCCTGTGAGCTATTGGTCACTTCCCTGAGCCTGAGTGTCCTCTTTCTAAATGGGGATAATATTCCTGCCTCGCAGGATTCTGGGAGGTGTGGGAAGCACTTGAGACAAATCTATTCCCTAACATCAGTGCCCTTCTACACGCGGACTAGACGGGACTCTCTGTGGAGCAGAATGTCTGCTCAGCAAAAGGCCATCTTTCCTTCTGTGGCACCATTGCTTTAGAGCTTATGGTTCCCCACATCTCATGCCAGCGTCCTCCTGAGCTGAATGTCAAGTCTGTTGACTTCACAAACGACACGCTCTCCAAAGCCTCCGTCTCTGGCACATCGGCTGCCCAGTGTGCTCTCCCTGGTCCATTCAGACACCTCCCTAGGGAGCCGCTCTTCCCACACAGAGCCCCAGGTTTCTCACCTGCCTTCCTTGGGACCAAGGACGTGGGATCCTGCTCATTCTTCACTGCCTTCACCTTGCAGATGAGGAAACTGAGGCTCACAAAGAGGAGGGGGCTGGCCCAGGGTCATGCAGCATTGGTGTGGCTGGAGCCAAAGCCCTGACTCCCACCCTCATCACTGCCACCTGCCCCTATTATCGCAGATCAGGTGCTCTGCCCTCGCACCTTCCACCAGCAGTGTCAAACCCGTCTGTGTGGCAGAGGGGGAATACCACAGTCTATCCCATAGCAAGAGACAGCAGGAGCCAAGTTAAACTTCAGCAAAGACTTATACATAACAAATGGGTGCATTTATTATTGAATAGGTAATGCGCACATGGTTAAAAATATTTTAAGTATAAAAATATTTAGTGAGAATTCTCCCTCCCACCTCCCCTATATCTACCTGGTTCTCTCCTCCACTAGGTAACTCCTCTTCTTAATTTCTTGGACATTCCACCGGTGTTTTAAATGTTTGCACAGGCAAAATCAGATATCTATGCTTCCTCTCCATTTTTCATACATGGTAACATGCTCTCTTCTTTACCTTTTACATTTAACAACACACCTTAGAGAACTGTATACATCAGTACAAAAACAGCTTTCTCATTCTTTTTCATGGCTATGTAATACTCCATTGTATATGTACATTATAATTTTTAACAACTTTATTGAAATATAATTCATATACCATAAAATTCAACCATTTAAAGTATACATTCAATGCTTTTTATATATTCACAGATTGTGGACAGCCAGCACACAATTTTAGAATAGTTTTATTACCCCCCAATAAGGCTATACCCTGAGTTATCACCCCCCAATCCCTCCCGCTAGTCAATCATTAATCTACTTTCTATCTTTGTAGATTTGCCTATTCTTGGCATTTCATATAAATGAAATCCTACAATATGCAGTCCTTTGTGACTGACTTCTTTTATTTAGCAAATGTTTTCAAGGTTCATCCACGATATAGCATATAACAGTACCACATTTCTGTTTATTGATGAATAACGTTCCATTGTATGGATAAACCACATTTTATTTATTCATTCATCAGTGGATGGGCATTTGGGTTGTTTACATTTTTTGCTATTACAGGTAATGCTGCTTTGAACATGTGTGTTCAGGTTTTTGTGTGAACTTACGATTTTATTTCTCCTGGGAAAATATCCAGGAGTGGAATCGCTGGATCATATGGTTTATTTTACAACTTACTTACCCAGCACCCCATTAATGGGAACTTCATCAAATTGTATCTTAAAAACCAGCAACCATCACAAACATGGCAGGTTGAAGTCCGAGAGTGAGGATTGGGGAAAAATGGAGCTGTGAACAATGGCTGGATTGTTGAACTTGCCAGTCTTCCAACTTTTCCTTCCCTGCTCCTGGGGAAACTTTACCCGCAGACACTTGCTCTAGCACTTTCCAATTAAGCCTACCTCAACTCCAATGGGGTCTGTGACTCTGGGAAGGAGAAGAGCCCTTTCTCACCACCTGGCACAGGAACCCACTGCCCACTGACTGCCCGAGTCCCCTCAGTGTGTCACCCCGTGGGTGGCACTCCCTTCCTGTCTGGGTTTCCTCATCTGGGAGACTGTCCATAGGAAACTGGTGACTCTTGACCATGGCTTTTCCTGGCCCTGTGATGACAGATCTCTGCCACACCTGGCCATCTGCCACACCTGCAACAGGTGCACAACACAGGATAATTCAATAGCCATCCAAGCTCTAAGCTGAAAGCCACCTCAAGGAGAGCTTCTGGCCACCTCAGCTCACGATGGGACCTGGGAGAGCTGGAGATTCCTTAGCACAAGCACGTTTTAAAAAAATTGTTTTGATTTAGAACTTCTTAACAAGTCAAAGCCGGGAAGTGCTTTCTGTTCTGATGCAGCAGAAGACAGAGCGAATCGGATCCTCTGATTAATTGCATGGGAGCAAAGTCATCCACTTACTAAGTTTCTGCTTGGTGCTGCCCTAAGATTCTTGGGGGATCATATTACTCCCCGCTCAGGAAACTGAGTGCAGCCCAGCTGCAGTAAGACTGATCCTTCCCTAGGAGAAGGAATTCTCCTTCCATCATCTTCCCCTTCTGTACATGGCAGCCACTTGAATTTGCCCCTCCAAGAGTCAAGGACAAGACCACCCCATGGAATGTGAGTACTCAGCTACAATGCAAGGATTGGTGGTTTGAGGTTTACTTACATATTTCACATCATTAAATTACAAGTGCAAAATGGCATGGAGGAAGAGTTTTCTCTCTTCTACAGGATATGTTGGTCCAAAGGTAAAATGTAATGTACTGCAATAATTAATATAGTGAGTTTCTTTCATGTGGAAAAGGAGTTGGTTTTTATAACTTAATGTTCTGTATGTAGTTCTTAGTTGGGAATATTTTATATGTACTTGAATATATTCCATTGTTCTGTGACAATTTCCAGAAAGTTCTATGAGTTTATAAATGTGTTCCAAGTTTCAATAAGTTCTCTTTCCCTAATACAAGGACACTGTTTTCTTGTTGGGTTGATTTGCTGTCTGTTAGTTGTTGTAATAATTATGGGAATTTTTTGCCTTCCTTACTTTAATATCTCAAACCATTTCACCAAACAATGGTGTAAAATTTATGCTCGAAATTTATGTTGTTTCTTGAGAGTGACTAATTTTGCATAATTAAATCTGTTCATTGTCCTGGGCTTTGTCACATGTAGTTTGAAAAGTAATTTTTAAATAATTTCTTCCTTCATCTAAAAGTAATAAGCTCATTCACTCATTCTGGTAACTAATTATAATTTAAAAAATACTACTTCTCTGAGTCTTGCATTAGCAAAATGAATTAGCAAAAAGCAAACAAATAACTATCAAATGGGAAGCATTTTGGAGCACCTTGGGTCTACCCAGCGGGCTAGGAGATTGATCCTATGATGCGTTTTTAAGTACATCTGTGTTCACGTAGAGCAAGAAACGGGGGTTTGAGCCAGGAAAGCCCCACTGGGAAGAGTTTCACAGGATTGCACCCTACACCCCTGGTTTTCGTTGTTTCATTTTCTCCACTGCCTCTCCAAGAACAGAAAACAGTTTTGAATTAAACAGCAATTGAGATCTTAATCGACAGGTCTTACAAGGGCACACAGCGTCTTTACCCAGGGGCACTTCACCAAGGAGACCAGAAAAGTATTAACTTGTACACTCTTTCTTTTTAAAAATAAGTACACAGAGTACTAAGTGCACAAAAGGGCATACGGTGAAAAATACATCCTCTTCCCCCAGGTCCCTTCCCCAGAGATAATTGCAAATACTAATTTCTTATGCATTCTTCCAGAGATGTTCTATACATACAAAAACTACAAGCAAGTAACATATAACCTCCCCCTTTTTTACAAGTGGTGTTGCATAGCATATCACGATTGGCTTGTTTTTTCACTTACTAACATTTAGTATCATTAAAAAACTCCTTATTACTTTTTATGACTGCATAGTACTCCACTACATGGAGGTTCCTAAATGTATTTCCCCATTCCTCAGTTGCTGCTATTCAAGCTGCTTCCAAGCCTTCGTCGTCACAAGCAGGTCTGCAGTGACTAACCTTCAGCATATATTGTTTCTAGATGTTCTAGAGCATCTTTAGGATAGATTCCTAGAGATAGAATTGCTGGCTCAAGGTAAGTGCATTAGTAATGCTCCTAGATCTTGTCCATGTGCCCTCCATGTTGGTTGTATGAATTTACCAGCAATAATACAAGGGCCTGCTTATCCTGCACACATATCCACATAGCTTATTCTGAAACATCATGAATTTGCAAACTCAATAGGTAGCAAAATGTTATCTAGTTATCATAATTTTGCATTTTTCTTTTACGAGTGATATTGCGAAGCTCTTATGTTGAAAGTTCATTTTTTCCCTATGAACTATTTGTCCATATCTTTTGCACATTTTTCTACTGCAGTTTTGAACTTTTTCTTACAGAACTGAAGGCTATTTAGAAAATCAGTGATATAAATGGCACTTTGTCATCTGCCTCATGGCTTTATGGTATGAAATAGCTTAAATTTTTGGTTATGTAGTTGAAATTAATTTCTATTTCATCTTTTTTTCTTCTGAATTTTTGTTATGCTTAAAAAGGACATTCCACTCTGAAGTGATCAAGAAAAAATCTGCCATGCTGTATTCTAGTACTACAAATTGTTTCACTTTTTATGTTAAAATATTTAATTTATCTGGACTGCTTTTTTCAATCTGGACCTATTTATCCGGTTATATGGTGGAGAGATGAGTATCTAATGCTATTTCCACCAAAGCTACATATTGAATAATTCATTTTTTCCCTAACAATCAGAAATGCTCCTTTATTAGCTAGCTATCAAATTCTAAATATTGATGCTGTTTTTACTCTGTTCAAGTGGTCTGCTTGCCTGTGTTTCCAGTATCACACTGTTTTAGCTGTTGTAGTTCTTTTGTTTTTATTTTTATTTTTAAAGATGGAGTCTTGCTCTGTCACCCAGGCTGGAGTGTGGCGGTGTGATCTTGGCTCACTGCAACCTCCGCCTCCTGGTCTCAAGCACTTCTCCTGCCTCAGCCTCCCAAGTAGCTAAAATTGCAGGCATGCACCACCACACCCAGTTAATTTTTGTATTTTTAGTAGAGACGAGGTTTTGCTGGCCAAGCTGGCCTCGAACTCCTGATCTGAGGTGATCACCTGCCTCAGCCTCCCAAAGTGGTGGGATTAAGGTATGAGTCACTGCTCCCGGTGCTGTTGTTGTTTTATAGGGGGAGTTGTATCTGGTTCTGAAGAACCCCCAACCCACACACTCTGCAAAGTCCAGCAAGCCCCAGCTGGGCCGTGTGCATATAAAGCATTCATTTATTGAAAAAAATGTAAATTAGTTTCTCTGGCTGGCTAATTCAAAATTTGCGGCTAGGCTAATTCATTAATCATTCCTTTTTATTCAGATTTTTTTCTAATTATTTTTGACAGTTGATTTTTCTTTTCTCTTTCTTTTTCTTTCTTTCTTTTTCTTTTCTTCTTTCTTTCTTTCTTTTTTATAGGGTCCCATGCTGGAATATAGTAGTGTGAACAGTTTACTGCAGCCTCAACCTCCTGGGCTCAAGCAATCCTCCGGCCTCAGCCACCTGAGCACTTGGGACCACAGGCTTGCACTACCATACCTGGCTATTTTTTTTTGAGACGGAGTTTCACTCATGTTACCCAGGCTGGAGTGCAATGGCACGATCTCGGCTCACCGCAACCTCCGCCTCCTGGGTTCAGGCAATTCTCCTGCCTCAGCCTCCTGAGTAGCTGGGATTACAGGCACGTGCCACCATGCCCAGCTCATTTTTTGTAGTTTTTTAGTAGAGACGGGGTTTCACCGTGTTGACCAGGATGGTCTCGATCTCTTGACCTCATGATCCACCCTCCTAGGCCTCCCAAAGTGCTGGGATTACAGGCTTGAGCCACCGCGCCCGACCTATTTTTTTTTATTTATTATAGAGACAGGGTCTTGTTGTGTTGTCCAGGCTGGTCTCAACCTCCTGGGCTCAAGCGATCTTCCCACCTTAGCATCCCAAAGTGCTGGGATTACAGGCATAAGACACCACACCCGGCCAACAGTTGCTTTTTCTAAATGAATAGTCTGTCGATTTCACAAAGAAATTCTATTGATATTTTTATTGCTTTTATGTTTGTTGTATAGATTATTTGAGGGCTAACTGACATCTTTATGATGCTGTGTCTCCTATCCAAGAACTTGGTGTTTTTCTGGGCATAGTGGCTCATGCCTGGAATCCCAGTGCTTGGGAGGCTAAGGTGAGAGGCGCTCTTGAGATCAGGAATTCAAGACCAGCCTGGGTAACATGGCGAGGCTCAATCTCTACGAAAAGAATAAAATTAGCCAGGCATGGTGCCACATGTCTATAGTTCCAGCTATTTCGGAGGCTGAGGCAATAGGATTGATTGAGCTCAGGAGTTCGAGGCTGTAGTGAGCTATGATCATGCCACTGCACTCCAGCCTGGGTGACAGAGCAAGACTCTGTCTTTCCGAAAACAAACAAAAAACATAGTGTTTTGGACTCTTTGGATTTTTAAAAATATATTGTTTTTTACATACCTGTTGTTACACTTCTGCTCATGCCTCAGAGAAGGCCTCTTTGAGCAGCACCACATTTGCATGACTATGAGGGCTCCATTCTCCTTGGTGTGGCCAGGCAGCCCTCAGCCCAGGACGCTGGGTCTCATCTGGACCTCTCTGTTTCTCAGGGGCCAAGTGGACTCCACATGAAGCCTCCAACCAGACCCAGGCCAGCATCCTCCTGGGGCTCCTGCCGGGTGACCACACGGAGGGGAGGAACAGCACCAACTCCACCAGAGCCCTGAAGGTGCCAGACGGAACTAGCGCTGCCTGGTACATCCTCACCATCATCGGCATCTACGCGGTGATTTTCCTCTTCCGGCTGGCCAGCAACATCCTCAGAAAGAACGACAGGTCCTTGGAAGATGTTTATTACTCAAATCTGACCTCTGAACTCAAAATGAAAGGGCTCCAGGGCAAGGTCGCCAAGTGCCCCACACTGATCATCAGCAACAGAGCGGTGCTGCAGCCCTGCCAGGCCCACCTGGGGCCAAAGGGCGGGAGCGGCGGGCCCCAGACCGCAACCCCAGAGAGCCCCTGAGAGCCAAGGCCAGGAGGCCTTCCCCAGGGTGGCCCCAGACTTCTTGGAGGGGAGCAGCTTTGGGTTTACTCGGAGCCCTTGGGTGGGGCTGGGGTGCGTAGCTGACCGGGGTGCCTCAGGCTGCCAGGTTGTGACCAGAGCCAGCCACCAAGTTCCTTCTCAGGCTTCGAGGAGCTTGGAGAAGAGAGAGCGGGACAGTGGCTTCTAGCCAGAAGCGCTCTTCTCTGGGAAAGCCTGTGCTGTGGAGAGCAGCACTGTTCTATGGTTCTCAAAGGAATCCGGGAGACTCCAGGGTGCATACAAGGAGGTGGCTCCTTGTCACGGAAAGAAGAGTAAACTTGGATTAAAATTAAACTTCTGGGGAATCACGTAACCTGGGCAGCTAGTTCTCACCTGGGACGTTCGGGGGTTGGGGACAGATTTAAAAGGCTATTTTATTTGAAAGACTTCGGCTTGAACATAGGACCAAAGTTATTAATAAGAGAAGTTGAAGATTCTTCATTTTTATTGAAAGAATTAGGTATGTCAAAAAAAAAAAAAAAAAAAAAAAAGCACTGGAGCCGGGTGTGGTGGCTCATGCCTGTAATCCCAGCACTTGGGGACCCTGAGGCAGTAGAATCACTTGAGCCCAGAAGATTGAGTCCAGCCTGGGCAACCTAGCAAGACCTCATTTCTACAAAATTGTTTTTTGTTTGTTTGTTTGCCTTTTGTTTTTACAGATGGAGTTTCGCTCTTGCCGCCCAGGCTGGAGTGCAGTGGCAGGATCTCGGCTCACTGCAACCTCTGCCTCCTGGGTTCAAGCAATTCTCCTACCTCAGCCTCCTGAGTAGCTGGGACTATAGCCATGTGCCACTACACCTGCTGACTTTTTTTTTTTTTTTTTTTCTTGAGACAGCGGAGCCTCCCTTCGTCACCAGGCGCCAGGCTGGCGTGCAGTGGCGGGACCTCAGTTCACCGCAACCTCCGCCTCCCGGGTTCAAGCAATTCTCCTGCCTCAGCCTCCCAAGTAGCTGGGACTACAGGCACGCACCACCACATCCAGCTAATTTTTTTGTATTTTTAGTAGAGACGGGGTTTCACCATGTTGGCCAGGATGGTCTTGATCTCTTGACCTCGTGATCCGTCCGCCTCGACCTCCCAAAGTGCTGGGATTACAGGTGTGAGCCACCGCGCCCAGCCTTGTATTTTTAATAGAGACAGGGTTTCACCATTTCGGCCAATCTGGTCTTGAACTCCTGACCTCAGGTGATCCGCCCACCTCAGCCTCCCAAAGTGCTAGGATTATAGGCGTGACCCACTGCTCCTGACCTCTACAAAAAATTTTAAAACACATTAGCTGGTCATGTGCCTGTGGTCCCATGAACTTGTGAGGCTGAGGTGGCAGGATTTCTTGAACCTGGGAAATTGAGGCTGCAATGAGCTGTGATCATGCCACTGCACTCAAGTTTGGGTAACAGAGCAAGACTGTGTCTTTAAAAAAAATTTTTTTTTATGTCTCTATATTAAACACAATTAAGGCATACCCATTTTTAGACTGCATTCTACCCCGGGCAATAAAGCAACACCCCTGTTCTCTCTCCCTCTTCCTCTTCCTCTTTCTTCCTCTCCTTCATTCATTTTTTTTTCTTTTTTTTTTTTTTTTGTTCTTTTTCTTTCTTTCTCTCTTTCTAAATAAAAAAAAAAAATTTTTTTTAAAGAAAAAAGCATTAATTTTTGAGTCAGAAGAACCAAACCCTAGTCTGAGTTTGATTATCAACCACTCTGGTGTCCCTTCACATGCCACTTCACTTCTCTAGGACTTAGCTTCCATACAGATACAATGAGGCTAATGATGTCAGATCTGCCAAACTTACCAAGTAGATGAGATCTAATGAAACCATGCATGTGAATGTATTTTGAAAAGTGAAATAAGTATGTCAATATAAGCCTTGTTGTGGTGAGTGGTGATGGTGGCGATGCTGATGGTTTTGGTTGTGGTGATGGTTTATGTTGATGGCATTGGAGTTGGTGATGTTATTGGTGGCGGTTATGATGCTGATGATGGTGGTGTAGGTGGTGGTGCTTGATGTTGGTGTTGGTGGCGGTGGTGATGTGATTCTGAAACAGGAAATGACTAATTCGTTGACAATTAGTCTCTAAGCAATGGTTGTATTGTCTTGCTCCACAAGAAAATTCTGTCTACATATCAGTTGATGACTTGTGCTGTCATCAATCTCATTGAGTCCATGAGATTTTCCATGTAGACACTTTTAGATTTCCTTATATTAGATATCAAATGCTTCATTCAAATGTTCACTCAACAGTACAGATACCTGTTACTTATATACTTTTCTTTGTCTAAAAAGAAATAAGATCTTATCTAGATGACTGATTAACTTAGGGAGATTCTGATTAACTTAGGGAGATTCTGATTAACAGAATTTCTACAAGTGGCTTTCTGTAGGCAAAGAGAAAATTATGCTTTGTATATAAATTTGTATATAAACTAGATAAACAATTTATATGAAGTTCATCTAGTTCAGCTTTTGGAGATGTCCCTGGGGCTAGAGATGAAATATCTTTTTCCTGTCCATAGACAGTGGTCTGCAGTTCACCCCATGACCTCATAAAGGTCAGAATTAAACCCCAAGCTTTGTTTTTGGAGGTGAGATCTATTTCCAAGTATTTATTTTTCTCTACACGTTTTCCACATCATCAGTACCATTGTCATCGTCACTGTCATCATCCTACAGGTTGAAAACAGAAGTGTTTGAAGTGTTTGTTTATTTGTATAATTTATATAGGCGTTATGCTACGTTTGAGATGCGTACAGGGCAGGACAAAACAGAAGACATAGAGGCAGACAAAAATGTAATCCACAGTCATAGGACTGCAGAATGCATTCAAATGGGGCAGAATGGCCAGAATGTGGGTGAATCTGAGGATAGGAAGAGTGAATTGGCACAACCACCCCTTGGTGGTGGTCTCTGCAGTATGCAGTTCCCCTTCTCTAATGCAGCTGCCCCAAATTTTCGTTTGAGGACCCATATAGCTCTAGGGAGGTTGAAACTACCCCCAGTTCAAGAATTGGAATAAGTTTCGACCTCAGAAAGCTAACTGAAAATAATTTTTGAAAAAAAAAAATTCTTAAGAAGTGGGAATAGGAGGCCTGGATTTATCCAGTCATTGTATCCATGTCCTGGCCTCACTGCTTGGGACCAGGATGGACACCTGGCCTAAGCAAAACAACACAATAAAAATGACAGAAGAACTTTAATGGGAAATTCTGGAACAAAAAACTTTCTCTTGGTCTGTATGGTGCTAAAAGCAGATCTGAGCCTGGAATTGTTACGAGAGTCGGATCCTGATCTAGACCCCAGGGGAGGGTTCTTGGATCTTGCACAAGAAAGAATTCAGGGCGAGTCTATAAAGTGAAAGCAAGTTATTAAGAAAGTAAAGAAACAAAAGATGCCTACTCCATAGGCGGAGCAGCAGCACGGGCTGCTTGACTGGGTACGCTATGATTATTTCTTGATTATATACTAAACAAGGGGTGGATTATTCATGAATATTCCAAGAAAGGGGCACGAATTTCTCAGAACTGAGAACTCAGAACCCTCAGTTCTTTTAGACCATATCGGGTCTCCTTTAAGACCATATACGGTAACTTCTGGACACTGCCATGGCATTTGTAAACTGTCATGGCGCCAGTAGAAGTGTCTTTTACCACACTATGTATCACAGTTAGCATATAACGAGCGGTGAGGATGACCAGAGGTCACATTTATCATCGTCTTGGTGTTGATGGGTTTTGGCTGGCTCCTTTATTGCATCCTGTTTTATCAACAGCGTCTTTGTGACCTGTATCTTGTGATGCCAGTCCTGCTGGCCTCCGGTCTCACCCTGTGACTAAGAATGTCTGCTCTCCTGGAATGCAGCCCAGCTCGCCTCATCCTCATTTGACACAGCGGCTAATCAAGGAGGTGCTCTGGTTCAAACACCTCTGACAGGATTGCTGCATCCATTTTGCCACCATGAAGAAAGCCAACTTGAGGGCAAAAACAAACAAACAAACAAAAAAAAAAAAAAACCAGCATCTAGAGGGGAGCAGAACAAAGAAATTACAGAGACCAGAGCCTGGACCACCTGTACCCAGAGCCTTCATTTACCACTGGAGTTTTTCAGTTTGTGGACCAATGAGTTCCTTTTATTAAGTCTGTTGGAGCTAGACTTTTATACCTCACAACCAAAAATATCCTAAAAGATACCATTGGATAAATTATTTCCTGAAGGAAGCGGGCCTTGGAGTCAAATTTGAAAAGAGAAGATGTGTGATGTGCTGTGTGGGAAGCTGGCATCATTTTTCTTTCACCAAGATTTTTATACTTATAGGCTTTTATATTTATAGGGGAAAAAACTGATTCTATGCACTCCTTCAGCTCAATGATCATTTGTAAGACTTCTCATTGCTTGGCCTCTCAAAAGAGTATACAGTGAGATTCTGTACTATTTAATCCTTACCCCTGACTGTCAGTAGACTGCCATGGAAATCCCAAGGATGCCTGTTCTGTTAGACATGTGATCAGAGACTAGCTCCAAAGGTAACTCCCAAGGAGCAAAAGCCACCGTCTTTCTGTTGTTGGCCAGACACAGGTGCATGAACTCCAAGGATGCCTTCCTAGGCCACCTCTCTGCTGCCTGATCTAAAATCACTCCCTTTCTGGGAGCTGGTCTGTGAGTCTGCCTTGGATATGTGTTGGATGGGAACTAAGGGCTGTGTCAGCTCCATTGTGAGCAATACCAGTGGGAAATGATCCCAAGTAGTATGGGTATTTTGCATAAAACGCCTGAAATCTGACATGCTCAGGGTCAGGACCATGAACCACTGTCTTGACAAACCCCATGTACATGGACTACTTGGAAAGGTGTGGGAACCTTGGCGTTAGTGTTCAACCAGAGAGTGGGAAAGAGATTTGCATGTGCCACCAGCCCTGATGGAGACAGTGACAGAATACACAGATTCTTAACATTCCAGACACCTACTATCTTTGTCCCTGTGTAGGTTTCCCCTAAGATTTAGGGGATCAGGTCAGATAAAGCCATTCCTCTGAAATGGAAATTATTTAAATTCAATGAGGAAGTCATCCAGGAATGACTTCCCCTGGGAATCTGTGGCTGACGGTACCAGGGTTTGTAACAAACCAAATCAAGGTAACTAGAGCTTCCCCGGGTGATTGTAACCCATCTCTTCTAAATAAAACTCGCATTGACTTGGTTGCATTATGATTTGATTTTCTTGTGTGATGTACTCATCACATTTTAAAAAAGAAGGATTTAAAGGAAGAATTTAGGGACTAAACATTTGTTGGTATTTATGCATCTCTTCCTGGAGTCACAGGCGGGCTCTGATTCTCATAACTGATCGCTTTGACTTCTACTGGAGCAGAAGAATGCCAGCTCATTCTTCAAATACAGTTAGTGTTCTGTTGGCAATTACAGAA